CCGACTATTGCAGAGTCATCAGAGAACTTCTGCAGGAAGCACTGGGTGGAATTGTGGGAGAAGTCTGCAGTGTAGATGGTGAAGAGGAACGGAGCCAGAACCGTTCCCTGTGGGGCCCCCGTACTGGAGACGACCCTGTCCGACACACAGCCCTGAGGCTGTGTTCGGGACTAGGTAGCATGTCAGTTACTGCACATTAGCCACCATGTATGTGTATCTGCATCTGTTTAGACAGAGTTTGGTCCTTGCTTTTGCTACCAACGCTAACAATTGTCCCTCTGTGGCTTGCAAACTGTGTCACTAGGCTGGTCACTCCTACAGACATTGACATGGCCCTCCAGCTAACAATGAAGAAAATAAAAAGAAATTTCAGGAACCATGCAGCCATTAGAAATAGGCAGAGTCGTGTCTTGGAATTAGCATCTTAGGCCACAGAGCTAAACTTCTAACACTTCCTGCAGGTTCATGGATAATTCTTCAAACAAGGGCTCTAAAATTCCAGTAATCTCTTCATGAGACAGACTGCATGAGTTCAGACCCTCCTGAGACCATTATTTATTTACCAATGGTGCATGTTATAATGGTAATCAGGGACCTATCATTCAATTGTAACAGCAGACAGTCATGTTTTGCATTGAAAGATGTTGTTTGTGTGACCCTGTGTTCCAAAGTATTTTCACTGTCAGCGAAATTCATGTTTAAAAACGGAGTTTATTCTCGTTCATTTCACTAAACATTGTAGTGTATTTATGGTGTGAATGTCTATGTTTCTGTGCAAAGCTGATACCTTGGGCTATTTAATACTCGACGTTGCAATATGCTGGTGTTAACGAGGACACTCTATCCATTGCCTTTTTTGCACTCTGTGTTCTCAGTGGTGCTTCAACAGCAATTCAGTCTCAATCTGTTGTGCCCTGACTCTACCTGAAAGCACAGATGAGCCTAGACACAAGTGCCCAGGTCCCAGAGGCCCTGGGAATCTATCAGGGGCCTGAAAAAGCAGATTCAATCTAGCTGGACAAGCTCTCAACATCCCCTCTATTAGCCCTGCAGCGCCTGGCAACCACTGCCACAATATCAGGCCTTCGGTTTGCATGGTCACCCTAGAGAGACGATACCACTGGCAAAGTACAATACCTGAACATAAAGAAGGGTTATTCTAAAGGCCCGTGGGAATGCTGTGCCAGCACAGATGTACAGAGAGGGCACAAAGAGAGTGAGGAAAACTTGTCAAGGAGAGCCGGAAGAAGGATGACAGAGAGAAAGCGAGAGGAAGATAATCATGAAGGAGAACAGGAGAAAATAAACCGTTTAAAAGGAGTTGTGCTATAGATGCCAAAGTGCAGGTTGGTTGCTTTGCGTGTGTGTGTTCACGTGCACTCCCACATGTTTTTTTACCCTTGCCTCGTTTTAGATTGCCAAATCACAGCATGAGCTTTCTGCAGGTCAAAAATACATTACTGTGTTTTAAATGAAACTAAAGTCTGGGGATGAGCTTAAATTACCATTCATTAGCATCCTCTTACCGAGCCAGGTATTCCTGCTGCTGCTCCACAGTATAAGGTTTGCATGTATATGTATGGAAATTCACCTATGAAGACGAGACGTGCATGCATAAGCGCACAGCGATAAGCAAACATACATCCGCATACTTGATTAATCCCCCAGCGGTGCGTAAGCCCCCCGACAAAACGAGCTCTTCACTTAAACAGCTCGCAGTATCCTTCGAAGAATTTCTCTTCGATGAATCCATCATTTTGCTTTAAAATGCAGGAAAGTAATACAACCGAAAGCATGCTCTTTGTAGCCACACCGAGTTTTAAACCCAACTCCTGGCTTTTATGTGAAAATGGAAGACCTTAGAGGAGTGAGTGACTCACATTACACTGTTCAGTAAAAGCAGTTGTTCTGGTAACTGAGAGATTTACTGACACTCATATTTTCTCATACCCCTGGATACACAACCTGAAGTGCACTTGGACATGTTTGCACACAAACACACACAGAGACACAGTACATCAAAAATCATTATGTTGGAGTAGAATTTCTCCTCTGTGTCAAAGCTGTGCAAGAACTCCCTGCAAGCACCACAGTATATCTGCTCCTCCGTGTATTGCATCTCTTCTTGTTGTTGTTTTCGTCTCAAGCTGACTGTCTAACGCAAGTTATTTGACAACTTGGGTGGAAAAAAGCGTGAAAGAGACAGTGGACTTTGCGCTAACTATGATGCATGAGTAGGGTAACTGAAGATGCATTTAAGCCGACACCTAATACAGTGGCTCAGGAGTAAAGATGCGGCGCGCTATGGGAATGGACACTTTCTTGGTTTGTTTGCCTTTTTTTAATGCAAAACTGCTAACACAGCGGCACAAAAGCAGCCCGATAAATTGAATTCTCCACTTTAAATACAGAATGACACTTAGCTGCTTAATTCATCCAGAATTTACCTGCTCCGCTCCAGGCTCCCACCATAACTGACTTTCAATCCAAGGAATGTGTAATCGTGTAGTCACTATAAATCATTCATAAGTATCACTGGAGATCAGAGTGAATTCATCACAGGAGATGAGAGTGCATGTTTTAGTAGAGCATGATTTGATCTATAACTAAAATATCAAGCATGCAAAAGTGTTGAAGCTCAACCGCAATGGGTGACAGGATGATGCCATTCAGAGACTTGTTATGGTATAGACACTCGCCAACATCTGGTTACTCTTCTTTCTCTCTCTGTTTTTGTAGAAAGCCCGTTTGGCCAGGATACGAATATCCAAGACAGGAAGCTCCAATGCCTTCCTACACAGCAAACGTAATGGCCTGTTTAATGAAGCTCTAGAGCTCACGGTAAGACTCGCCTTTAAAGCACAGACACCTCCCTCGCTGTTGCATTGTGGTCTGACACGCTTGCATTTGTTGTGTTGTGTTGTGTTTTTAACTGACAAGACAAAAAGCCTGACCTCTGCGGTAACTAAGTCATGAGATACAAGCCCTCCTTGTCTGTTTTTTAATTACGCCAGCATCCCATCAGAGCAGCTATCTGTGGTCTCATTCTATAAGCGGCACTTCTAATGCGAGCATCTCTGAGCCCAGCTGCCCAGCTGAGGAACAAGCTTCGGGCAATGCAGCAGGAAAAGTAAACACAACTCAAGGATGTTCCATGCCTCACAAAAATGTTGCGGTTCATAAGCACTACAGTGGCCCGAGGCTGACACAGAACAAAAACAAGTGCTTCTTCCACCCGCTCGCTCACTTTCTGTGTCTCTGTTGCTTTGTCTCTCTTCAGTGGCAATGGTGGAAACCGGGATGGTACCAGCAGTGCACAAGCTGTAGCAGAAATAACGCAACTAATTTACATTCATGCCTGAATAGAAGAGGGGTGACTGCGATGCTATTTGCTGTCATGTATGTCACTCTTACACAGTGCTGTGAAGAAGGATTTGCACCCCCCCCTCCTGATTCCTTATCTTTTTGCATATTTGTCCCACTTGGTTGTGTTTCAGATCATCAAATAAATTTTAATATTAGACAAAGATAACACCAGTAAATATAAAATGCAAGGAAAAAAGTCATCTGTATTTGCCTCCTAAACCCAATAGCTGGTTGTTATTGTCTCTTTCTTAGTGTTGGATCATGAACTCAGTTCTTTATATGCTCTTGTGGGTTCTTTGTGTCCTCCTGGATGAACCATTAATGTGCTCTGGGAATAATTTTGGTAGACCACTCCTGGGAAAGTTCACCAGTGTTCCACATTCTCTCCATTTATGGATAATGGCTCTCATCGTGGTTCACTGAAGTCCTAAAGCCTTAGAAATGGCTTTACAACCCTTTCCAGACTGATAGATGTCAATGACTTTGTTTCTCATCTCTTCTTTAGTTAGTTGTATGAACTAAGGAAAAATCGTTTAGCCTACTTCACTTCCTCAGATAGATTTGTATTTTAAGTGGTTTCTCAATTAAACCTGTCTGACAGTAATCAGGTGTCACAGATTATTAGGCAGAGGACTCACTCGCAGGACTCTGAAATTCAGAGAGAAGGTGAGGGTTTATTTACAGTGTGGCACCAAGTGAGAATATCTACATATATATAGTGAGACAGATAACACGGGGCTCCAGGGGGTGCAGGGGGGTCCGAGGGGAATGTCCAAGGCGGGGTACATACGCTCCTCTTCAACTTAATCCGCAACTCACTCTGAATGTCCACTCCAAGAAATCCAGACGGCAGGGAATCTAGAAGGCCTGTGCACAGAGAAAACCAACATTAGGAGGACCCTCTAGGTGATCACAAGGAATAGGCCACACTGACACTAGGTAATGTGACGATGCAGCGAGGAAGCAGCCTCTCTTGCCATCTTAAGTCGTCTGCTAGGATCAGTGCGAATGAGCCACAGGTGTGTGTTCAGGGCGGGTTCAGAGGCGGGGAATCAAGGTCTAGTTCCGCCCTGGTGGGAGAGGCGATGACAAAAAACACACACACCACGACCTCTCCAGATCTGGAGAACCATGACATCAGGCCTGGCTGTGGTTAGTGAAATTGAAGCTTTCCAAAAATTGTGGTTAATCACAGTTAATTCATGATTTAACAAGAAGTGGCAATTGCTTTTTCACACAGGGCCAGGTAAGTTCAAGTTTCCAATAACAAACAAAAACATCCTTTAAAAACTGCATTTTGTATTTACTCGCGTTACCTTTCTCTAATAGCATCGTTTGTTTGACGATCTGAAACATGGAAGTGTAATAAATATAAATAAGGAACCAGTAAGTGGGCAAATAGCTTTTAGCAGCACTGTACATGAGTACATATGGCCCTGAATACAGCTTGCCTGCACATTTAACACTGATGGATAAATCTGCTTTACTGAAGGTTTCCCAACACTTTTCTTAAACAGTGTTAACAGAAACCAGAGCTCTGAGACGATATTTTGATATTTTTTATGACTTGATTGCCTGTAACATTTTTCCTGCCTCATTAGACTGTCCTGTCCAGTTTCAAAATTTACAAAAAAAAAGAAAAAATAAGAAGATTATTGTTTGGGGTGGTTTTCTTACCACCTTACTACTAAACCAATCGCCAGAGGGAAAAATAAGTAATTGAAAAAAGTAATTGACTTCTCTGTTAAATAACACTGCAAGAAAACAGATAAATGAAGCTTTCATTAGGTTTTAAATATTTTCTTGTATCATCTCACATGCCAGAATGGATTTTGAAATGGCACCAATTAAAGTGCTAATAGACTGCTTATGCCTAAAGTCAGCAAAGCTAAAGATCTGTGCCAGCTCAATAATTTTAATTGCTGTCAAACATGGGTTTAATTGTACTGAGGCTATTTACCAACAGTACATACAGTACCATGCGCAGCAAAACATTGTGTTTTGTCACCCAGCGTGTCAAGCTGTTTCCACTCTACAGTATGGTGGCCACCTGGGTGGTGAGCCATAGCCGCCTCCAGACAGACTGCTGATATGGGCTTTGAGTCGCATGTATAGAGAAGGGCAGAAATAGCTCGACCTAAACACCTGTGTTTTACTGCTGTGTTAGGTACAGATAAGCAGCGCGAGCACAGGTGCGCGGTGTCATCAGCGCAAGAAAGTACCCTCTCAGCACAGAAACCTCTGCTTACACCGCCAGCCAGCCACTTAACAAACAGAAAATTGCTACTACAAATCTTCCAAACATGGCGTTTCACTTGCCTCTCGGCGGTGCTGTGGAGCATGCAGGATCAGGGCAATGCTTTTTTTGGGGCTTTGTTTTTTTATAAACGGCTGAATTACAGATTCTGCTAGGAAGAAAACTGATGCAACGTATTGAAAGTCTGCATGCGAAACACCGCCGTAATTCTGACAAGTGCAATCAGAGCATTCGGCAACATACTGAAGAGAACGTGTTCCCAGGCGCAAGCTGAGGCTATTATGCAGAATAGTTTTGCCAATAAAATAAATAAATCTGTGTTTTCTGGGTAGTGGCTCCTCATACAGCATGGATAAATAGAATTCAAAATCCTTATATAGACAGAAAAACTCCAAATGCTACCTTAGAAAAAGTTGTACATGAAGAAAACAAACAGAACATTTGAACATTTATTCTCACTGTAACTAAAGAACACATAAGCAAATGAACTGCTTATCTTGCTCTCTTTACTTTGTTAAGAGATCTGCGAGTTTCCCCGAGACTCGAAAGACCGCTTATTCTCTGACTCACCTCCAAACTGCAGCACTAGAAATAGCACCTACTCGCAGACAAGTAAACACAGACACAGAAATGGGGGATATGAAAAACAAGTCATTATGAGTCGCCTGTTGCAAGGCTTCGTAACAGCACCAAAGGAGGGGAAATGTCACAATGGAAATTTTTATATCAGTTGTATATACTGTATATCTATTAGCATCGAGTTGCATCTCCATTCCAGCACAGATCAATGCGCCGGCTCAGCTGATGTTAAAAGAAATGCCTCTCTGGGTCTGAATAGTAATGTTCCACTGATTGGCATGACTGGGACCCTGACAGCAGCCTGTTCTGAGTACTGAACTATAAACACTAGTAAACTCTGTGTGTGTGTTCTCCCTTTGTCTTCTTCTCAAGCAACTTCCATACAAGATGAACCTTTCGGATCAGGTACTGAGGCAGCCGTTGGTCGTACACCTCCCACAGCTGATTATTGTCTCTCTGCAAGGAAGCATAGCATAACATTTATTTTTGTATTTGTGTGTGTGTGTTTCAGGGTTCCACTGAGGATGAGAAACGCTTAAGCAAGTCTACCTCTCTTTTAGAGAGCCAGCATCACCACCTGCTGCACTGCTTGGAGAAAACCACAGTGAGTGTTCTCATACTCGAGCTCTTTGTCATAATAATATCTTAGTTCCTGTTTCACAGAGCTGAGGAGGCTCTGTCTGTATACAACTCGAAATTGTGCCGTCATCTATAGATTTCTTTGTATCTGGGGTTCATTAGGTGAAAAAAACTGACAGCTTGGCGTAATGTGTAGATCGACAGTATTTTTATGTCCAAGTACTGCTAACCAAAGCGTGATATCCAGTGCTTTGTGTTGCACTTACGATACACCCTCGACATGCCTGTATGTCCGTATAGATGCGCTCTCTGTTTCACAAGCATGACTCACACACAAGCTGTCACTATTTAAAGGCATTTGTCTGCACTCGCTTAAGTCCAGTGTAGATGTGTTCACCTGTGTTTTGCTCAGATGCGAACTGCAGCCCACTGATAGGTCTGTATGTTCACAGCCTCCGAGTGACCCCTTTCATGTGAAAGTAGTATACATTGTTCATATGATGATGGAAAAATGATTCAGAGCTAACCTGTGAGGCTGTAATGGGCCTTCAGAGGACATTAGCTTATATTAATTTCCTGGAGAATTTTAACCAAACCTGCCATTTGTCTTACCCTTACTGCTACTCTGACCCTAACCTAAGCCTAAACTTAAGATATAACGATTTATGTTACAGGGATCTGTTTTTTATGGTTATATGTGGTCATATCAGATTTATGTGCCCATGACATGAGTAATACTTGGCACACACACACAGCATGGACACTCACATAAAAAATAATCACACTTTCTGAGTTATTGATCTAGGCAACAAAGCAGAAAATGTCAGGATATATGAAGCCATGTACATAGATATAAATGCTGTAAATTTCACATGATTGTTTATGAGATTGTTTATGACACCCTGTCTCGCCGTCTCCCTCCCTGTCTTGTGTCTTTGTAGAACCACGAGTTTGTGGACGAGCAGTATTACCAGCAGAGCTACCTGGAAGGCGGGCTGCAGAATTACCCGTCCCGAAGCCCCTCCCTTTCCAGTCAAGACGGTGTGACGGGGACGTGCTGCACCCGGCGAACCAAGAAGCACCACACCCCTTTACCGAACGCCAGTGCCCCAGCACACATGCAGCCTTTGACGCACACTCACACGCACCCACAAGGCTTGCAGGAGCTCAGCACCATCCACATCCAGCCTCTCAGCACCAGGTGAGATCAGGGTAACAAAAAGCCAAAGCAGTTCCATCTCATACACTTGGACCGCTCAAGTGAAACTCTTGAGATTAAGACGTCTTTTGAGATGTGCTCATTTTCCCCCGGCTAAGAGAGCAACTTGAGTGTTTTGGAGTATTTGCCTGTTACACAGAAAACAGAGTATTATAAGTATCCTCTTGAAATAGCTTCTCCTGTGCTCTGACAAAGTGTTGTATAGACACGCAAGGCTGGAAGTTGATTTTCAGTACTTCTGGTGTTTGTTTGGTCAAGAGGAGAGAGGAGGATTTCTCACTCTGTCCTCGGCACTAATCTTCACAAAAAGGAATATTTCTCTATGGATTGTCCTAATCCTTGCTTGTCTTTCTTAAATTTTCCTTCAGCCGCTCCAGTCTGAACATGCGCGTAGATGAGCCAGCCCCTCTGAACTGCCAGAGCAGCCAGATCACCACAGCAATCATCAGCATTCCCACGCCCCCAGTGACGACTCCGGAGGGTGACGCTCATCTGCCGGCAGGCCCCGCCCACCAAAATGTTGTGAAGGTGTCCGCACTGTGAAGACTAGAGTGCAGGCGCGTCACACAGAAAGACAGATTTAAAAGGAAAAAAAACTAATCGAGACAGACGGAGGGACGGAAGAGGACAGAACGACGGAGGAGAGAAAGCGTTCAGAGTCCTGGTCTGGCCTTGGTTGAGCCTGCCCTCTGCTGGTCATGTACTGTAACGACATGGACTCCCCGTGTGGACGGAGGATGGCTTTTAGATACAGTGTCGTCATGTTAGTGGTTGGCGTACGTGTTCGTGCGAGTGAAAGAGTGAGAAACCCCTGTAGGGAGTCGTTTTAGATAAGCGGGTGAGTGAGTGAGTGTCTCCCAAGTGTCAGTGGTGAGCTCCCCGAGTAAGTCATGTGTCACTGTGCACAAAGCACCTTTTCTTATGATTTACGCTTCAGTTTGACGTTTTTAGCTGGAGATGTAAGGAAACCTCAAAGGGAAACAAAGAAATAACAATAATAAGACGTAATCAACCCACCGCCTCGTCGTTTGTTTTCTGAAGTTGTAATCTCTCCATAGATAAATATGGCTCCAATCCTTTTCAGCTCCAATATTATTCCAATTTGAGTAAAATTCCAAAAAGATTCTGATGGTTTTCATATTTTCATATTTGTGAATGGGTGCGTGTGAATTTATTTTTTATTTTTGGGGGCTAGATAGAGGAATTGTGATCTTTTGGATAGAAGGTGTGTGTGCGTGTCTTTGTTCCTCAGCTGATTGAAAACTTGTGTTTCAGTTCTTCTGAAAGTCTCTGTGGCTCAGTATGTGGTATATTTGACTAGCTGCCACTCTGAAGGGTTCAGCACACACATTTCTGTCCAAAGTTCTCAGCTACAAGGCTTTTACACGACATGTGCCTGTTCTGCTGGAGTTTAAAGATATTTATTCGTTTTTTTCTAGCTTTCTGAATTTCTCCACGTTCCCCGTTCATTCCCACTTTTCGGCTCTTCCAGCCTGACGGACCTCAAATATCTCGATTTCCCTGATGTAGAAACCAAAAAGTCTATTTTTAATTCAAAACCATCACAATTAAAAGCACAAGGCGTTCGCTGAGAATTTCCGACACAAATCTGTCCTGAGCCTGGGATCTTTGTGAATATTGTTAATAGAATATTTTGTAATATTTGACCATTGTTTGGCAGAACCAGTGAAGCTGTCCTCTCGTTCTCTCTCTTTGCCTCACTCTGTCTTTCTCTCTGCTCTCTCTGCATTTCTCTCGCTCTCGTTGTTGTCCCGTTGTATCCCTTCCTCCTGTGTGAACAACAGTATGCTTTCAGTAGTCTTTCTAGCCGTCGACGTTTTTTCTCCCCCAAACTCAGCGGGCATTTTTTTTTGAAGTTGTTGAGTATATGTACTCTATGTGGTTAGGAAACTTGGTGTTTGTACCTTTTGTCCTCCTTGGTGTTTCAGATGATTTATTTACTTTATCTTCTGGAAAAATTAAAGCAGGGAAGTCTGTTGTAACGGTGACCGCAGAGACACGAGGACACTGGATGAGCTTCAACAGATGTCTGTCACCAAAAAAAAAAAAAGAGTGTTGTTCTGTCTGTTCCCTTGAAGACCGATATGTATTATTTCTCATCTAATCCCATCAAAGTTGAGCTTTGTAACTCTGGATTATGACTTTTTTTAAAAATCTTGAATGTCATTTTTGGGTTCAGCGACCCCAAAGAGAAGTCTGTCTTCATGTGGATTTTCACCAAAAGAGGAAAGAGCAGACCAACCACCCGCTTTGCTCAGTGTAGATAAAATGAAACGGTGATAAAGAGCACAAGGAGCGAGCCAGCGTTTCACCAGTGTAAGCCAAGATCTTATTTCAAAGGCAGTATTTGAAATCGTCTACAGCCTCATTTACAGAACCTTGGGGATGCCGTATAAAATATAAATTACTCAAAAGGCAATGATTTCCAAAGAATTTAAATTGTATTTTTAACTGAAACTAGTACAAAGACAACACACTTTTATGACAATTTTAATTTGATGCCACCCACACATTTCATTAAAGTAAGAGGACAGCTGTGCTGCATACACTCTCTCTTTCTCTAAAATTGTAAATGCATATGAGAAATATTCATTTATGAAGTTTTGTTTTTCCATCCTTTTCTTTGTTCATGATATGAGCTTCTCGTTTGAGCCTCCTTTGTCTTATATGTCCTTTCATAAGTGTGAAAGATCCAGACTGCAGGCAAGTCATTTTAGTACCTGCCAGACCGCCTGATGAAGTTCAACCCGAGCATCAGAATGGGGAAGAAATGCCATTTAAGTGATTTTGAATGTGCCATGGGTGTTGGTGACAGGCAGGATGGTCTGAGTATTTCAGAAACTGCTGGGATTTTTCCACACATCCCAGAAAAAAGAGAAAATATGATGACTCAAATAACCACTCGTTCTGTCAAATAAAAACAGGAAACGCAGGCTCTGAAACACAGGGGCTCACCAAAACTGGAGTTCAGGCTGGTGGTGGTGGTGTAGTGGTATGGAGAGTATTTTCTCGGCACCTTGTGTTCGAACAGCCCAGCCTACCTGAGTGTTGTTGCTGACCGTGTCCATCCCTTTACAACCACAGCGTGTCCATCTTCTGATAGCTGCCTTTAGCCACATCACAAAGCTCAAACTGTCTCAAAGCTGGTTCCTCGAACATGACCGTGAGTTCACTGTACTCAAATGATCTCCACAGTCATCAAATCTCAATCCAGTAAACTCCTTTGAGCTGTGTGCTGCTGATGTGCAGCTGACAAATCTGCAGCAACTGCCAGATGCATGATGTCAATGTGGACCAAACTGTGCAGCTATTAGAGGTGATTTTAAGCCCATCAAGTTGTATAGGGAGTGCAGAATTATTAGGCAAGTTGTATTTTTGAGGAATAATTTTATTATTGAACAACAACCATGTTCTCAATGAACCCAAAAAACTCATTAATATCAAAGCTGAATGTTTTTGGAAGTAGTTTTTAGTTTGTTTTTAGTTTTAGCTATTTTAGGGGGATATCTGTGTGTGCAGGTGACTATTACTGTGCATAATTATTAGGCAACTTAACAAAAAACAAATATATACCCATTTCAATTATTTATTTTTACCAGTGAAACCAATATAACATCTCCACATTCACAAATATACATTTCTGACATTCAAAAACAAAACAAAAACAAATCAGCGACCAATATAGCCACCTTTCTTTGCAAGGACACTCAAAAGCCTGCCATCCATGGATTCTGTCAGTGTTTTGATCTGTTCACCATCAACATTGCGTGCAGCAGCAACCACAGCCTCCCAGACACTGTTCAGAGAGGTGTACTGTTTTCCCTCCTTGTAAATCTCACATTTGATGATGGACCACAGGTTCTCAATGGGGTTCAGATCAGGTGAACAAGGAGGCCATGTCATTAGTTTTTCTTCTTTTATACCCTTTCTTGCCAGCCACGCTGTGGAGTACTTGGACGCGTGTGATGGAGCATTGTCCTGCATGAAAATCATGTTTTTCTTGAAGGATGCAGACTTCTTCCTGTACCACTGCTTGAAGAAGGTGTCTTCCAGAAACTGGCAGTAGGACTGGGAGTTGAGCTTGACTCCATCCTCAACCCGAAAAGGCCCCACAAGCTCATCTTTGATGATACCAGCCCAAACCAGTACTCCACCTCCACCTTGCTGGCGTCTGAGTCGGACTGGAGCTCTCTGCCCTTTACCAATCCAGCCACGGGCCCATCCATCTGGCCCATCAAGACTCACTCTCATTTCATCAGTCCATAAAACCTTAGAAAAACCAGTCTTGAGATATTTCTTGGCCCAGTCTTGACGTTTCAGCTTGTGTGTCTTGTTCAGTGGTGGTCGTCTTTCAGCCTTTCTTACCTTGGCCATGTCTCTGAGTATTGCACACCTTGTGCTTTTGGGCACTCCAGTGATGTTGCAGCTCTGAAATATGGCCAAACTGGTGGCAAGTGGCATCTTGGCAGCTGCACGCTTGACTTTTCTCAGTTCATGGGCAGTTATTTTGCGCCTTGGTTTTTCCACACGCTTCTTGCGACCCTGTTGACTATTTTGAATGAAACGCTTGATTGTTCGATGATCACGCTTCAGAAGCTTTGCAATTTTGAGACTGCTGCATCCCTCTGCAAGATATCTCACTATTTTTGACTTTTCTGAGCCTGTCAAGTCCTTCTTTTGACCCATTTTGCCAAAGGAAAGGACGTTGCCTAATAATTATGCACACCTGATATAGGGTGTTGATGTCATTAGACCACACCCCTTCTCATTACAGAGATGCACATCACCTAATATGCTTAATTGGTAGTAGGCTTTCGAGCCTATACAGCTTGGAGTAAGACAACATGCATGAAGAGGATGAAGTGGACAAAATACTCATTTGCCTAATAATTCTGCACTCCCTGTAGTTGTTGTTTTCTGTTTTTAAAGTGACCATTTTATATTGTTTTTATGGTCCTCGTTAAAAGAGCTTACTAGCTTTTTATGACTCTTTTAAATGTATTTTGTAACATCAATCATGAAATCGTCAAAATATTTTTTTTTTTTGTGATTCAGAGGCAGAACGGTGGCGTGGTGGTTCGCACGGTTACCTCACAGGAAGAGGGTCCTGAGTCCACCATGAGGCCAGGGTGTTTCTGTGTGGAGTTTGCATGTTCTCCCTGTGTTTGTTTGGGTTCTCTCTGGGTGCTCTGGCTTGATCCAAATGTCCAAAAACGTGGGGTTAGTTTTATTGGAAACTCTAAATTGCACATAGGCGCGAATGGTTGTCTGTGTTAACCTTGCAGCGTGTCCAGGGTGTACCCTGCCTCTCGCCCTAAGACAGCCGGGATAGGCTCCAGCAACCCTGAAAAAGGATAAGCAGGAATGGGTGATGAAAAATGTTGTTTTTGTTATTTAGAAATATATTCTTCTTCTTGTTGTCCTAACGTCCTTGGGCATAGTGAACTCTGGCACATCTTTACTCTGAAACACTCTTTGAACTCGTGACAAATTCAAACTAAACTAATTAGTTGTGTTTTGTTGCCTGATCCCCAAATTCCTTCATTTCAAAACCTCTCGTGTTGCCTTTGTATTACTTTCAATTAAATATAGATATTAAACGAAGAACAAGGAATTGCATTGTATTTGATAATTTGCACAGCATCCTGACGTTGTTGGAAATTGAGTTGTAATAACGTGTTTGCTCACATGTAGCTGATGATGACTTTGCTGTAGACGTAGACTGTTTAAAACTACTGCCAAATAGCAGCAAATATTACAAACCTTTAAAAAATATATATATCTAAGCATCTTAAGATGAAGACATCTGAAAAGCTTAAGCAGTTTAACATATACATTTGTACGAAGCCTTAGAAAACATATCATAAGCCATCAGGTGGAGATATAACATACTGGTACAATACCAGTGCATCAGGTCCCTTGATTCTGTGCTTTAGTTCACCCCCCAAAAAGCTGAACCTATTCTGCCACGTTGGAACAGGATGTGTTTTATCTCTGATATTCCTAGCAGTGACTTAGTGCTGTCGCTGGTAGTTTAGTACTGTACACAAGAACAACCGCATAGAGGCAGTATTAGTGTTTAGTTAAACTGTGTGCAAAATTTACATGGGGTTAAAAAACATAAAAGCACAGACAGAGCTTTTTTCAGTGTTCTTTAAAAAGTGGGGTTAGAGACAGTGTCTTTATATTTACAGCATAAATCTGACATTTAGAATCTGTTAAATCTAGAACGAGGGTGTGACAGGTGTCGGCAGAAGCGAGGCTCCCTGCGTTTTTTTGATTTATTTCAATTTTTTGCTAAAGACGGCGGTTCATTTCCTGCTTCCCGGTTTCACAACAGGTTGTTTTGTGTCAGCTGCTCTTACAAAATGACACAGTTTGAAATATATGTAAACATATATTCTGCTCAAGGTGTCAAAAGATTTCATTTTTCTTTTACAAACAACTAAAACAGGTCTGTTGTTGTGTTCGTCTCTCTTTCTCTGTTATGTATCCTCCTTTGATTGTCCTTTTTTTCTGGGCTCAGTTTTCCTCTTACTCTTTGCTTTGCCCTCCTATGCCACCTGTCGTTGTTGAGACTACTGCTGTGCGTAACTTGTCAGGTGTTGGATATTATTTATGACCTTGTCTTGTGTCCCAACTGTGAAACGCCTGATAAAACATCTATATCTGCCACTAATACATAATCTCTGGGCTCCCTTCTTCACCCACCTTTAAATCAATGCTTTCAAGTGTGTACATTTTTACCATAGATTTGGCGTCTCTTCCAATAGTGCAGTCCTTTTGACCCAAGTGTTCATGTCAAAATATTAAATCTTAAGTCTTGCAATTTTGGGGGAGAACATCCTGGGATGAACAGGAAGATCGTGTTCTGAAACAAAAGAGCTAGGTAACAGAGGAGGAAATGAGGTCTATTGGAGCCTGCACACGGGTCAGCACCATAACTTTCCAGCTCCAGCTGCTCAATTGTTTTCTTTTCTTTGGTAAAACTGAAGCAGTCGCTCTTCTGCATTTTTCTCGATAAATTGACTACCTGATAGAACGTCAATTAGCAAATCTGTGATAAACGCTTAAGCTCATCTTTTGTTGGGACGGCTGCTTTCTGTTTGGCTGTGGTTAAGCTGTGAAGACGCTGTGTTGGAACTATATGGAAAGGTCTTCTAATATTTACAGTGCATTTGAAGGTGAAATCAGCTAACCTTTACATAGTAACCTACTTAATCTGGGAGTCCATTGAGTTCAGTTTTACTTTATTTATGCATCACCAAATCACAACAACAGTCACCTTAAGGCTCTCAACAGGAGTGGGCAGTTTACTTTAATAAGGGCCTACGTCAGGAACTGGGACTGGTGTGGAGGGCCAGACTAATAAATTAATTTTATCCCTTTATAAGCTCATTCGCACAGCCCTCCACAACAGTCCCAGTTGATGACAGTTTCCAGTTCTCTATGAGCAGTATGGCAACTGTGGGAAGGAAAAAGTCCATTTTAACAGGTAGAAACCTCCAGTAGAACCAGGCCCAGGAAAAGGCAGCAATCTGCTGCAACCGGTTGTGGGTGAGTGGAAAGAGACGAGGGCTACATCCACACTGTGTTTTCGTTTGAAAACGCATCGTTTTCACTCAGTTTTGGCCTCCCGACCACACTGAGACGGCGTTTTCGCTCAAGGAAAACGCGTTTTGAAAACGCTCTCAAAAACGCACAGATTTGAAAACGGTCCTTTCGCGTCACAGTGTGGACAGCGAAAATTGAGACTTTTTCAAAACGATGACACATTTTAGTCATGTAATGCAGTCAAGTGACCAATTAAACTAAGATAGCGGAGGGTGTTATACAGCCCTATCTGTCTGTACATGCTTCAGAGAGCTTTTCTTCATAATCTTTAACTCGCTTTTGCAACTTTGTACTTTTGAGTTACCCGCAGCAACAAAAATCCCGGTGCTTCTCTTTGACCTTTTGCCGCGACGTTTCAATGAGCCACAAAGTAAATGAACGGCAGACATAAATGAGGCAGGTCGAATCGTATTGCGCTTCACGCATGTGTAGTACTGGAACGTAAGCGTTTTTGGCTATTTCAATGTGGATGCACAACTCTGTGAAAATAACTGAAAACGATGGTGTGGACGCAGAGCGTATTCAGACGAAAACGCTGTTTTCAAATCTATCCGGGCTAGCGCGGACGTAACCAAGAGCAGAGGGTGACTGGACAAAAGACTCACTATGCCAGAGTTTAATAATTAAATGCCCATAAAAATTATATTTTGAAGCTACTATTTCACACCAAAAAGCCAAGAAGGAAAATGAGAAGACAAAGGTATGCCAGATTACACAAGAACCACACTGAACATCTTTGGGGGGGAAACACACACACACACACACACACACACAATGGAGCACCATCAGTCATGGATTGGCCTCCCCACCGCCCGGACTTCAACATTACTGACCTGGTGTGGGATTATTTTAACAGAGAACAAAGCGAAGGACAGCCAGCAACCAAAGAAGAGTTTTGAATGTCCTTCAAGAAGCCTGGAGAACTTTTCCTGAAGAGTACTCAAAGAAATTACAAGAAGGCTTGCTTAAGAGAGTTCATTCTGTGTTGAAAAATAAAGGTGGTCACACCAAATATTAACTTTCCAGCTTCACAGAATTGTACAAAATATGTTTTATGCCTTACATGCTGCATTTGCATTTATATTTCTATCCACCACTGCACATATTTCCAGTTTTTCTAGCAAGATGTAAAGAAATGAGGGATGGCTCAAGACTCTCTACAAGTCATACAAACCAGGCACCATGGCAACAGTAATTACAGCCAGCACTGGTGCCGACAAACAAAATGTAATCTTCATGAGGACCCGTTTAAACAGAATAAAGCAGCTGCACATGCACACTTACTCACTCCGACAGCGTTTGGAAGATTAAATCACCTTCCAATATGAAGAACACACATGCTAGATTAAGATGATTACAGTTAAATGCAGATGATTGGGACCTGGGTGGGTCTAACATGCTTTTACTCCAGGGACTAAAGATCATCTTTGAAATGGTTTTTAATGTAGTCAAGAACTACCAGGTAATCCTCTTCAAATCCATTTTAGAGCAGTGAGTCTAAAAGGGCATACCGTCAGGAGAGACGCACAGAGGCCAACACAGTACTGCACTTGAAATTTATTTTTTACATCACAACTTGACTGGGAAAAAACAAAATGTGTGTAATTTATTAGAAAAGTATTAATGACACCAACATGTTATGGGGAAAAAAACGTATACTAGCCAAAGTGCAAATATGAATCAAGTGGCGTAGTAAAGACACTTTATGTTTGGAAAACAGGATGATTTAAAAAAAAAAAAAAAAAAAAAAAAGCCTGGTCACGGTATCCACAACTCATTTTCTCATCAGTTCTTCCATGTAGACGGCGTTCATACGATAAGCTGCCATCCAGTTGTAGGCTACATTATAGTAGTTTTGGTAGCCTTGCTCTTGAAACGGGGACATGGAGGCGTAGTAATCATTCCAGGCGCTGTAGCAGGCTCTCCAGTACGTTTCAGCACACCACTCGTCCTCTTTGTCAGTGCAATCTTCGTCTTCTTTCTTCTCCCTCTTCCGGTCCCTTTCCATCTTTTCTTTCTGTTTTTCAGTTTCTTTTTTCATCTTTTTTGATTTTTCTCGGTGTGCTGGGGCCGGAGCTGTCTGATTGGTTCGCCTGCCTGATTTAATGCTCAATGCAGATTCCCGGCTATCGGGAGGAGGCACAGCTCTCCCACGTGTTGCACACAGTGTCTGGTCAGAGTTTCTGAGTGGAGGAGGAGTATAAGCCTTGGGTTTGGTGGCGCTTGCTTGTTGTGTGGGTGGAGAAGGTGGATGTGTCATTGCAATCTGAGGCTTAGTGACAGCTCTGTTCTCAGATCCTGTGGTCTCATTTGAACTTTCCAGTGTCGCATCATCTTCCATGTCAGATTCAGAACTGGAAGAACCAGAGATGGACCTTGGAGGTGAAAAGTTAGATTTAAGCCGTTCGACATTTCGTGTAAACATTTGCGCTCCATCATCATCAAGTGTAAGATACTCCTTATGCCCATTCTGATCGCTGGGTTCACCATCGTCTCTGCCTCTGAACTCTCTGATGATCTCCACCGATCTCCCCAGACCTGTAGTGATGAAGTCCTGGAAGTCCCGCTCGGCCTCCTCAAAGGTCACAAACTTTGACCTGCAGTTCTTAAACGAGCTGAGAGGAGGGATCTTCGGCAGACTGTCTTGGAGCTCTTTTCGAGTCTGTGTCACCTGAGCAGGCAGAGTGTCCTCTGTGGAAGATATCTTCCTAGCATCCTCTTCACAGACCGCCTCTCGCCTGGGCATTGGATGCTTCTTCTCTGGCTTTCTTTGACTGCCGGGCTCCACAGCTCGATCTTCAACGCAATCAGACACAGAGACGTCAGGCTTTGCACGTCTTTTCTTCTCTGCTCTGGGAAACAGCCGGGATACTGGGTCTGGAGTGGACGCTTCAGTGCAGACATCCCAGTCGCACGGCTCATCCATCAACCTGGGCTCTATCGTGGCTAAAATGACAGCAGACAGATGAGACCGGAATGACTTTTACCGATTAATATTGAATCAAAAGTAGACATGAAGAGAAAAGTTGTGCGTGCTGCATGTAAAAGCCCCACAGAGACGTGAACAGGGACTCACATGGCAGCGCAGACAAACTAAGGCCACACTTCTGAGCGATGGCCATCATCTTGTTCTCCTCCTCGCCATGGCAACAGTAGGTCACAGCCAGTCCCTGAGTGCCTACAAGCAAAATGTAATCTGGATGAGGACCCACTTAAATAACAGGAAGGGATAAAGATGAATGCAAGAGTCGTGTATAATGGGATGGCAGCTGCACACAAACACACGTGCACTTAGAGAGAGCATACAGAAGCTAAGATTGAATAACCTCAATTCTGGGGGAAAAAAGTTAAATGCAATTAAATGCAAATGACTGGGAACGTTCTGCCTCTGGTGGTTGGGTCAAAAATGCTATTGATTCAGAGAGAAAAGAATTTGCTAAATTATTTATAAAAAAACCTCAGTCTGGGTCAAAGACATATGCCACCAGAAGAAAAAGCTTTGCAACATTTTTTTATTTTATTTTAGGACAATTCAATTCAATTTTATTTATATAGCGCCAAATCACAACATAAGTCGCCTCAAGGCGCTTCATAGATACAGAGAAAAACCCAACAATCATATGACCCCCTATGAGCAAGCACTTTGGCAACAGTGGGAAGGAAAAACTCCCTTTTAACAGGAAGAAACCTCTGGCAGAACCAGGCTCAGGGAGGGGCGGGGCCATCTGCTGTGATTGGTTAGGGTGAGAGAAGGAAGACAGGATAAAGACATGCTGTGAAAGAGAGACAGAGGTTAATAACAGATATGATTCAATGCAGAGAGGTCTGTTAATACATAGTGAGCGAGAAATGTTGACAATGTGCCGGTGAATGGCCACTCAAATTGAAAGCAGCATAACTAACCTTTTCATCAATTTGTAAACTCTAAGTAATATTTTTCCTGGAGCTATTCTAGTCTGTGTTTCGCATCAAGCTAATTGCACATCTAAAGAATAGTGTTTCTTCCAAAATGTGAGATGGAGGGAGAATCAATTCTACAAAAAAATAAAAAAATGATGCAATTTCTCTTCAAACATATTTTCCTGCTGCGGTGCCATTAGCCACCTGTGCTGCCTGACTTGGTGATGTGACAAGGTGAAAATGCTGAATGTCAAACAATGCTTGCTCTCGCTGCCTCTAAAGCAGCGCTGCACACTAACCAAAACGTCCAGCTCGTCCAATTCTGTGCATGTAAGTTTCCCAATCCTGCGGCACATCCAGGTTTATCACCAAGTTGACCTTCTCTGCGTCTATACCTCTTGAAGTCTGAAATTGTGAAACACAAAGATTACTCAAAGTTATTAGGCTAACAGAAAAATGATTTCGAAAAATTCACGTAGACGTGTGGAAAGATGGAAGGTTTCTGCATCTCACCAGGTCAGTGGAGATGAGCACCCTGCACTGGTACTGCTTCAGTTTTGACATTGCCTCCAGTCTCTGGTCCTGACTCAGACCACCTGCAGAGGCCAGACACGACACCTCATTAAATCTGATAACGTCAACTGAAAGTCGCTGGCACGGAAGCATTAAAAATACACACATTCACAACACTGTATGAAGGTCATTTTAAATATGTGCACTGAAACATTGCCAGGCAACACTGCAAATCATAAACCACCTGGCCAAAGAAATAAAGTCAAGAAATGAATGAATTCCAATGTCTAAAATTCAAAAGCAGCTGGTATACCAGTATAGAAATGCCTCAAATCAATTACCTGATTTTTCACAGTATTACCATTTTTATTGACTCATCCTAACATTACATTACATAAAGCAGTCTTACCAGAGATGCAAACAGCAGGCAGACCTTTGGAGGACAGGATGTCTGCCAGGTGCTGAGCCCTGTGGTAGCAATTCATCGCATTAGCATTTGAGAAAGCTTTTTTAAAAATAATTAATCCTCAGATCTAATGCATTCTATATAAAACAAGTATAAAAAATATACTTTTTCTTGGCATTAAATGCAATCACATACCGTGTGTGTAGGTTTGAAAACACCAGCGCTTGGTTGAAGGGGATTTTACTAAACAGCTCTAGCAAGTGCTGCACCTTCTCCTCAAAAACCTTGTGAGGTAACGGATGGGACTGAACCAGCTTGTAATACTGCTTCAGACCTGACAGGGGGCGACACAAGGACGACATACATGCTGTCATTAATTCAACCTGACCTAACAACTTTGGTCCTTCGAGCAGGACGTGCTCTGTCAGTGATGTGTGTGAATTAAAGGCTCGAGTTCTGAGCTACAGATAAATCCATTTTCTGACATTCACTCAAAATAAGCACAGAGCTTAAAATAGGATCCTGTGGAAGAGAAGAGTGTTTTTAACTTAGCCTTATTACTGTCAATCATATCACATCCCCCAAGAATCTTCTGTCAGGAAATAATCCCATCAAACATGTCAGTTTGCAGACTTGGTTATCCATGCAGTCTTATTATGCAGAGTCTCTGTTGCTATGACAGCAATTTAAATACATTAGAAAATGTCAAGAGAGGCCAAAACTCAGGAATCTTTATCTTTTCCATCTATTAAAGTGGGTCTTACCTTTCAGGCCCATATCACTTGGATTTAGCCGTACAAAGGTGGGCTCTCTCATGTAGCGGGTGAGGTGCTGAGCAAGGGATTCTGGGTAGGTGGCGGAGAGTGCGAGCATCTGTTTGTTCACAGGCAGCGAGGAGAAGATCCAGCTAAAGAGGACCAGGATGATGGGTGAACTTTAGGTTATGTTGGTTTGTAAATGTGGTTACGATACGATATATAAACGGCTTCAGTCTAAATGTACTGCTTGCTCGCTACAGCGGCCTGCTGCTCATTTAATAGGAGTATAATCACAGAAATTGTATCCTCATACTTTATCTGTTCCTGGAAGCTGCCCTCCTCCAGCAGCTTGTCTGCCTCGTCCAGAACAAACAGTCTGATGCTGGCCGTTGACAACATGCCCAACTCAATAAGCTGCTTGATGCGACCTGAGCACACAACCGGAACACTGTTACCGAACAAAAACAACAGCGGCGTGGCAATTACGTGACGTGGCACTGCCGACTACTATCCCGGGTTCCTACCAGGTGAGCCCACGGCTACATGACACTTCTTCAGGTGGGTTTTGTCCTGACTCACAGGCCTGCCGCCAATGAAAACATGGCACTCCAGGCCCTCCATGGCACAGCCTATGGCCATGACCACCGAGTGGATCTGCACTGCTATCTCACGTGTCGGAGCCAGCACGAGAACCTGCAGGAGGGAAAAGTGTCCAAAATGAAAAAAACAAAAAGGCTTATACTCGATTGGGAGAAGATTAAGGATGAACAGTAAGACCCCAGAGCTAATAAGATTACATTTGTTCTACAAGACCAGGTGTACCTCGTCTTTATCAATCATTCTTCCCTTTCATTCATGCATTTGACACTAAGCAGCTTAAATTCAGCAGAAGGCCATCTGCTGGTCATGAAATGATTAAATAATAAAACTTCCCCTTTCCCTCTTCTGATGATGTTTTACTTTAACCATCCGAGAGCAAACGTAGGTCATATCCTCATAATCAAATATTACACTGACCTGGGTTGAAGGATTCTCCAGGACCAGAGAGTCCAGGGCGATGGTGCAGAACACGCATGTCTTTCCTGTCCCAGACTTGGCCTGCACAATCAAATCTAAAAGAAGAGACTCAGTGAGCGATGCACAACAGGGCTGGCAAATGACAGTTTTGGCATCAGCAGTTAATTACCATGACTGGGTGAAGTACTGCTGCCTAATACTTAGCATCAAATCAATTGTCTCCCACCATGGTTTAAATTAACAAGTGTTTACCTCAAGTACAATGAAATTAAGCACATTCTGCATCACCACTGCAGCCGAGAGCTTTTTCAACACACGGGCAACCTCCAAGTGGAAAGCAACTATTCTGAATTTGTACCTCGTAAAGGCTGTAAAATGTTTAAAAGCAATAAACGCTTTTGATCCCCAAGAGTGATTTAGCATCATGATGAACAGTTGTGGTATCTATGATAGTCAAAAGAAGGACTAAAGTACTTAAACTGTTTTCTCTGCAAATGATTAAAAAAAAAATGACCACTTTTCAACTAATGTAGTTGTTTCGAGCTTTTCAAAATAAAATACTTTTAAATATCCTTTAAAACTAAAAGATTTGTTCACATTTGACCACGGCTTTGAGGCAAGTTCACAACAAAAGTCAGTGTACAGTCTGAGTGTAGTACAGCTACAGTAGATGGAAACTTGATTTTTCTAACAATAAATTTCTGTGATTATTGAACAAAACAAAAGCGATATTACTAAAAATAGTAATAATGTTTTGCCACCATTTCCAATACCATGAAAGCTATGAGGATTAAAAAGGAGTCCATCCGATGAGCATTTTTAACCCAAGCTAAGCTGCTCTACTGTTTCGTAATTCAACTAGATTTGGACTCATCAGATATCATAATCAGAATCCTTTATTATTCCCTAAAGAATTATGTGGTTACAGTTGCTCCAAGACAATAACAACGGTAACCGACCGAACTAAAAGTTCACAAAATAGAAGAAACTCTCTAATATATAGCTCAGTTATGAATATCCAGAATATTACACAGATGAAATACATATTATTGAAACAGATAGAAGCTGAAAATGTGTAATTTGATTTTGTATGAAGAATTTTTATAAGGAACTACATTAAAATGTAATACATGATTGAATTATTCAGAGTAAAAACAATTTTTGGAGTACAGCTGAAGTTGCGGGGCCATATTAAACCCTTTTCTAAACTAATAATATAGCAGACCTCTGCAGTTAGTCGATAAATATTCGGACAGTTACACAAAGTTCTTTTTCCCTGTGTACACCTCACAGTGGATTTCATGAAGATGTGACTTTCAACTTATTTCAAGGGGTTCAACAGAAGTATTGCGTTAAGTGTTCAAGAATCAGAGGCACCATCTGTCAAAGAGGGCGGAGTTAATGTTACAAACTACGACTGTGAAATCGCAGGGATGCATGGCTGCCTGTGAATCTGGACCTCGAGTGTTTACTGACGATGTGCATGCTGGTAGCAGGAGCAGGATGTACCTTGAAGTGTAAAGGGGAATTCAGATTCCTCCAAGTGCTGCAAAACTGATGGAGCACTGCATCACAATGCAAACGGAAAATGACTCAGAGCATACAGCAGAAGCAACCTGAGAGTTTCAGAGGGCAAAGAAAGTGGGAATTCTTCCTAAACCAGCTGTTTAGGGTCTGGGGTCTTACTGCTCATCCTTTTGTCAAACCTCTGAATTAAAGCTGAACGTTTTCCCTTCAAATACATTTTGACAATTTGATTTAAAATTCACAAAAAAAGCATCAGTGTCCAAATACTAACGAACCTAACTCTAACACACCCAGCTATTGTACAAACAGATTTTTAGATCAGATACACGATGGTTTGTCTCTACTGCCATGATATCAAATGTAATAACCTTTTTACATTACGTTCTTTTAATAAGCCTAGAGGAGCTGGGAATCGAACCGCCAACCTCCCAGTTAGTAGATGCGCTACCTGATTACCCACAGCCAAGTTTTATGTCCTAGATTAATAATCTGCATAAATTTGCCCATAAGTGTGTTTTTTGATTGCAGTAATAATAGTGATAACAGTATTTTTTCATTTCATATTTATGAGGAGATGCATTGGATAAGCGGACGATAATGAATGGATAGATGGATTTATGAGGCATAATATGTCACATCACATTAATCATGTGCGTCTAAATATTTACGACCAGTACGCTTTACAACAAAAAATTAAAATACTTTAAAAAGCTGTAAAAAAAAATAAAATAAAAATCATAATAAAAAAAATATTTTTTAACTATAGTGCCAGTCATGTATCTGAGCAGACATGCAAATTATAACTGATGGTTAACAGACAGATTCTGATCCCTGATGTATGTAAATGCACTAATGTAAGTTAGTGGTTTTATTTCGCGTGCATACATAAGGTATTTTGTTGCTCTTCTTATAAAATCAATTATAAGCTTTATACACTGAAAACTTTAATATTCCTGCCCCCAGCACACACACATGTGGACCCTCCCGCAGTTTTGTTTTGCACCCACCGAGTCCGCAGCGGCCGAGCGGGATCGCCTTGAGCTGGATCGGAGACGGCTTCTGAAATCCCGCGGCGGACAGTCCGTCCAACACGGGCTGAGACAGCAGCAAGGAGCCGAAGTCGATCCCCTCCGACAGAATCACGTCTTCGGTCCGTTTTCGCGCTTCGATATCGTGAGCTGCTTTCCTCACGGAGGTAGCCATGTTTGCTGTGCTGTTCACTGCCGGTGACCCGGGTAAAAAAAAGCAGAGCCACAGCTGCGCTTTAGCCCCCTCTAGCGATGCGGAGGGGGAATTAATTTCTCTGCACAATCATCTGGGTGTGATTGGTCGATTACACACTTTTTGGCAATAAATCGTATATGGTTGGAAACCCTGTTTATTTCCCCCTTAGTGGTGCTAAATGTTTAAGGAAAATGCATTTGTGGGCTGAACAGCAGAGTTGACCATGTGGGCTGTGCCCATGAAAAACTTGCAAAATCTTCTCTCCCAATGCAAAAGAAAGTATTCTGCTATTGAATCTTGTTTGGTGCAGTTTATGGGATTGAATTTTTGAAGTCTGAAGAGGCATATTAGCAATTTAATGGTTTATTCATTTGGTAGCATGTGGAAGAACCATCTGAGAACCATACCTCCTCCTCATGCTGGTCACCAGCTTGGTCACGTACTGCTGTGGGATGGTATCCCATTCTTTAAGCAGCATTTGTTGCAAGTCAGCCAATGTGTCAGTGTTGGTGACTCTTGCACGAACAGCATACCCAAGCTGACACCAGAAGTGTTCAATGGGGTTGATGTCAGGACTGCAGGCACACTATTCTATCATGCCCACTCTTGAACTCTGAAGATAGTCTCTGATAAACCTCATTCTGTGAGGCCGAGCATTATCTTCTTGGAGGATAGAGTTCGGTCTCAGACAATGGAAATAATGAATTGGTATTGGTTGGAGAATTACATGTTGAGATCTCTTTGCATTAACAGTACAGAAGTATTCATTTATGGCAAAAGGTCAATAACGGACTATAAAGCACCAACAACCGGTATGACGAACGCGGCCGTGACTCTG